TTGGTGTTGCTTGCAGTGCGAATATTTCTGTGTCATCAACAAATTTTGGCAAGGCGACGCTGTCAATGCGCGCTTAAGCAGAACTGCAAAACAAGAACACAACAAAAACAAATGAAAAGTGAATTTTCCACGTTGCCAGATTCCCGTCGTGTAGAAGGAAAACAAATCCAGTGAGTTTTAAAAACGCTCGAACTTAAGCTGGGTACGAATAAAATATCACTAAAGCCATTTACAAATAATTTTCATTTTTCGCAACACTGCAAATAGCAGTCAGCAGACAGCCAACACTGGAAGCGTACGTGCATGATGCAACGCGCAACACTTGACGCCTCCAACACTTAACATTAGAGGCGTTAGTCAGCGCTGCTGTGTCACTGCAGCGCCGACTTTGTTGCTGCGCATCCAGCAAAATAGTCTGCTTCCGCCTCTGGTTTGTCAGGCTCAACGGATAGATGTACTTGTCTGAGCGGCATTAATCTACTCAAGCTGTTAGAATAGTTTACTAAAAGCATTTGTTGCATTCGGCTTTCCTGCTACCATTTTTATTGCTTCCTGAACTTTATTATGTCACAAAACTTCTTCAGCCATGTGAAGTGTCAGCCATGTAAAATTAAAGTACTTTTTATATCATTCCATGACTTTTACATATGGAGCATATTTAGCAGTACTAGATTACTTGATTCGCAAAGATATTCAAGGTCACATCAATTATTCGTTCGATATACTAAATACACTTCGAATACAAAGTTTATATTAGTTATTCCAGCAGTTCTAATCGAATCCAGAATTATAGAATATAGGACAATTCTGTTAAGTATCATCATTGATATATGAGTAATTTTTTATGAACTTATTTCTTATCATCTTTCCAGCATAATGGTTGAGTTTAGGCAATCTCAACGACAGTAATATAGTCACCAAACCGTAAATGGTATCAGAACTACTAATACTGGGAGTGAATATAATCATTTTAAAGTCGATAAGACACGATTACTAAGTAGTTGTTTTTTTCTAATTAGTAACGGTTTTGCTATTGAATAGTTAGATAGATTAGATTAGGTTAAGAGAACTTGCGCTTATATAACTGTCATCTTTCCAGTATAATGGT